TTACTCAGGAAAATCAATCAGACCAGGTCTGGGCACTGCTTTAAAAAACATATGCAGTGTTCTTATATTTTTTCAAACTACGTATATTGCTATGGTAAAACATGCTTCCACTAGGCATGTAGTCATTGTGTGTGACAATAATAGCAATAACTTTTTTTAAGGCAAGAAAGAATGTACAAGCCCACAGTATTTTCCCTCTAAGATTATCTTACCTTCCCATCATAGAAGCTCCTGGGCGTCCCGGTGTTAATATTATTCCTCTTTCCTATTCCACTAATCTAATCCCCTAGATAGGCACTGTGGAGTCTCTACTAGAACAACAATGGTCAAAGCAATAGCAAAAACTAACATCAATTGAGTGCTTGCTGCATGCTAGGAGCTGGGCTCAGGCGTTGAATGGATGGATTGGTACATTTAATCTTGACAGAGGGAGAATGTCTAGTTCAGAATCAGTTGACATTTTTGAGGAGTTGATAGCCACGGACTTGGGGAAAGGCCCTGAGTGGGGTTGAGCATGACCTATCCCACCACAGCCAGGGATCAGCGAGACAGCAGGAAAGTGGCATCAAACCCAGCTGGGAGAGTATTTATGAGAGGATTAAGGTCAAATTCAGACCTTCAGAAGGTCATACACATCTTCTATTTGGAGACAGATTGTGGGGCAAAGTGGGTGTACACGGGAAGGCACTGTTGATGTAGTTGGGGCAATGGGGGAAAATGGGGTGGAGAGGCCTGGACTCAGGGGTTGCTGGTGGAGATGGATGGAAGTACATGGACTCAGAATTGACAGAATTTGCTGGTAACTTATATAAAGAAGGTAGGATGAGGGATAAACAAAGGCCAAGTCCTGGGTTTTTCATTTGAGTGCCTAGGCTGATGGAGCGCCATACTCTACGATGTGAAAGTCTGGGGGAGTAACTCCGGGGGAGGAACTGGGGAGGGAAATGGAAGGTTCTATTCTTACCTTGTCATTTGCCAAAATTGACATTGTGACCAAAAATAAAGGACACAAAACTAGAAGCTTTCACTCTTTAATCATTTTTGTGTAGTAAAAAGAGACCAGACGGACCTGGGGCTGGGCTCAGGCAAACGGAGGACTGCTGTTTGCAAGTTGCGCAACTTATCCCGCTTCATTCTCTGCTTCCTCATCTCTAAAGGGGAGTTCACATGCCCGCCCCACTCTTGTTGAGGTAGGTAAGGTATGTGCAGCTCCCAGCCCAGTCTCTGGCAGGCAGTAATCCCATGTCTTAAATGTTAGTGGCAGTCCTTTGAAATAACCTGCACAAGATGAAGCTGTTCTATGTAATAAATCTTCCTGTGTGGGTCCTGTATGTCCCTTAGCCTGGGTGACAGGGCATGACATGGATAAAGAGCATGTGGAAGGCAGTGGTTCCTCGCCCCCCCACCCCCCCAATCCCTGTTACTGGCTATCTGAAGTCCATATTTAAATGTTTCATTTCTTTGAGTGAAGGCTTTTTTTTTTTTTTTTTTTTTTTCTGAAATAGCACTGGTTTTGAAAAAAAGAAGAAATCGTTTAAAGCGTATTTGTCAATAATAGAAAGTCAGCATAATGTTCTGTTTTGGAGCGTGGAGCCTGGCTGCCCAGTTCTGAATTTCTGCTCTGTCACGTATGAGCTATGTGACTTTGGGCAAGTTACCTGACTCCTCTGTATCGACGTTCCCCCCTTTGTGAAATTAGGACATTAGTGATTCCTACCTCACAGGGCTGTTAGGAGATTTAGTGAAGCTAATACACATAAAACCATAAAATAATGCTCAGGGAAGAGTAACCACACATAACTCTCAAACAGGAATAGTTAAAGTGTTAGAAACAGATGATCCTGAGAAGGTGAGGGAAAGGCGAAGCTGGGGTTGGGGGGGGCGGGGAGGATGGCTAAGAGGCACTGGGCTCTGGAGGAGGGTCAAACACTATGGGTGATCACGAGAGGAGCTGAACACAGACATTTATGCTTCTTGGTTTTGTCTTGTCAAGCCCCCGAAAAAAGAGAATTCCCAAACATTAGAGCTACATTTCCCCCTCTTAGCAGCAGCCTTTAATCCAGGTTGGGCTCAGGCAAGGTAACATGCATCAAAACATGCATTTCTGCAGAAGCTCCCTCCCTGGAGTTTATAAGAACATGTCAAGTGTCCCCTACCCCTACCCCTACCTGCCTAATTTGGCTTGAGTGTGTGACTTCCTGTGGCTTATCAAGGTCTCAACTGAAATCCGGCCACAGCCTACTCCTCCAAAGCCTCCAGGGATGATCATCTTTTCTGACATTTAAAATGGACTGGGGTTGCCAGGAAACACGTGAGTTTCCTCTCGTGTCATCCTTTCTTAAAGGAAATTGCTTGGTGGGCCGTTATATCTGGATGGTAGTTGGCTTTTATACTTAATCTCCAGCTGAGGCAAATTAGGGACAGAGCAACAACCTTCTTTAAAAAAAAAAAATGGGGCAGGAGGGAAGCAGTTTGGTGGGGAGAAAGAAATCAGGAGTCCTGTCTGGCCGCATTCATGTTGATCTGTGTAATAGACAGCTGCTTGGGGCCACATATATTATACCATCTCTTTCTCTCCCCCGGCCAGTGCTCAATTAGCTCTGAGTTGGTTGGTCTTGTACATTCAGGTGTAAATGGAACAACGCATGGCAAGGTGGCTTTCTACAGGCCAACAAAGGGTTCAGATTTTGCATAACAGGAGCCTAGAGGTAGCAACCTGAGGGTGAACCTTACATGAGGGGAAATGAGAGTTCAGTGGGAGCTAGACAATGAAGTTGTTTCTTCCCTCTCCTATGGATAACTCAAAGGTACAATATCTTCAAGCAACTCTTTCAGAGAAGCTCCACATGCTGAGTGGACACAACTTCTGAGTGACCTTCTGGGACCTTCAGCAGCTCTCTGTGTGGTGAAAGCCTGGATGGTGATACAGCTCCTCACATCATATCACACCTTCTTTTGTCTTCTTTCCATTTTTTGCTACAGCCAATACCTTCCTCACCTGCCAATTAAACTGTTAGTATCTTAATCCTTGCCTCAGGCTCTGCTTTATAGAGGACCCAATTAAGACAACATCCAAACAGAGAGGGTGTGTTCTAGTTAAAGTCTAGAACTCAGAAGTCAGGGTTGGAACTTCTAATTTGGGAAACATCACATATGTGGTATTTAGGGTCATAAGACTAAATACCAGTCACTTAGAGAGGGTGGGTCAAGAAATATGGGTCAAGGAACAGATGTGGGGCACTCTAAAATCTCATGTGTAGGCAGAGGGGTGTGGGTCCAGCTGAGGGGTGTTGAGAAAGAATAGTCAATGAGGTAGAAGAAAATCTGAGGGGGTGTAGTGATATAGGCAAAAGAAGTGGAAAGTGTTGCAAGAACAATAGGAGTAACCAAGTGGGTAGAAGCTAGCTGAGCGGTCCAGTAATATGGGAGAGAGTGAAGACCAGTAGGTCCAGCAACATAGAAGTTGCGTGTGGCTTTGATGAGAGTAGTTTCAGTAAGGAAGTAGAGTTGGCGTTAGTCAAGGAGAGAAAGGGAAATGGGAAGTGAAAATAGCTAACATCATAGATAAGTCTTTGGAGAAATTTAAATGGAAATGGGGAGGAAATAAATGGGTAGCAACAAGGACGTCTGTTGGCTGGATGCTGTGACTGGGAAATGTGTGTGGGAGAAGTGTGCTGGCTGGGAGTCAGGCAGCCTAAATTCTAATCTTTTTTCTGCCATTAACCGGCTGAAGGGGCCCTAAATAAATTAGTTCCCTCTCTGGGCATTAATTTCCTCATTTGTCAAATCAAACATCTCTCAGATCCCCTCTAGCTCAGAAAAGCTATGTTCCATGGATATGCTAAAGCTGACAGAAGAGGAACAGTGAGTAGGGAAGTTAGGATCCTTGAAGAAATGATGTAAGTCCTTAAGGGGCAGTAAAAGAGGCCCTACTTCCCAGGGTAGTAGGAAGGATTAAATAAGATAATGCATGCAAAGCACTTAGCACAGTGCCTGACAATAGTAAGAACACAATACACTTCATTTATTACTAGAAACAGTAGAGGTAGTCTAAGCAGCAGAAACGTCCAGGGTATTGTGTGCACTGATTTACTGCACACCCAAGACAGTGCCTTTTGGAGAAAAAGAGGGAAGGAGAAGAAGTGGGGGTGAACCAGGCAGCACCTGGTATGACGGTGAGAACCACACTAGAGGCGACTTGTGGAATGAAGCGTCTTAGGACGTCAGCTCAGAGCTGGTGGCTTGGATGATATGAGGGTCCACCAAAATGAGATGTTTTACTTTTAAGGATCCTTCCTATTCCATGTAAAAGTAAGGCGGGAATGCAAAGAGCCTAGAATAGCCAAGGCCACCTCAAAGAAGAACAAAGCTGGAGGATTAAACCACATATCAAGAATTATTATAAAGTGCTAATTAAAACAACGTAGCACGGGCACAACAATAGACAAATAGTGGAACAGAGTAAAGAGTCTAGACCAAAGCATACGTAAGCACTTGATTTATGGAAATGAAGTCACCTAAAGCAGTGGGGAGAGGACAGTCTTGCAATTAATGATGCCGGTCCAGTGGATATCCAAATGGAAAAATATGACTAAAACTCAACCCCTGTCTCATACCACAGGGGGGAAATAATCAATACTATGTCATCTGTAGATTGTAGAGAAAAGCTTCTAGACAGTGGTTCTCAACCTGTGGGTCGCAACCCCTTTGGGGGTCGAACGACCCTTTCACAGGGGTCGCCTAAGACCATCCTGCATATCAGATGTTTACATTACGATTCATAACAGTGGCAACATTACAGTTATGATGTAGCAATGAAAATAATTTTATGGTTGGGAGTCACCACAACATGAGGAACTGTATTTAAAGGGCCAGAAGGTTGAGAACCACTGTCTAGATAGAAACAACTCAAATATGCATCAAGTGTGGAACAGATGAATACATGATGATATTCATAGAATGAAGTGCTGTACACATGAAAATAAATTAACCACTACTACGCACGGCATTGATGAATCTCACAAATATAATGTGGAATGAAAGAAGCTAGTTACAAAGAGAACACATATTGTCTGATTCCATTTATTCAAAGTTCAAAAACGAGCAAATTTCATCTATGGTGCTACAAGTCAGGATAGTGGTCCCTTTAAAAAGCAAGAAGGAGGTAGCTGTGGGAAGGGCCATGAGGTGGGCCCTGAATGCTGGTACTTTTCTATTTCTTGACCTGGGTTGTGGTTACTTTGGGTGGTTTTCTTTGCACTATCCACTTAGGATTCATGCACTTTTCTGTAGGTATGCTCTACTGAGGAAGAAAGATTTATCTAAGTAAATGAAGGCTAATCTTTATTTTAATAAATGATAAAATGTTTCTCCCCACCTTGTTTCTGACACACTCCCAAATTCAGGTTCCCCACTGGATGTGACTTTGTTGTTCTTACCAAATGTGTTAGCCACAATGGAAAAAATTTATTGGGTTTTTACGGATTTTTTTAAAGTTTAACATCTTCCTTGTAAGGTCATTAAAAAACTCTATCCTCAAATAAAACCATCAAACTTCACCCCTATCCTTTTATGGTTAAGAAAACTGAAATGCTGAATCTGGGAATAACAGTCATCTTGGGATCAGAAAGTGAAAGTAGATCAGAAATTCATGCATTCATTCACCTGACAAATATTGATTAAGCACCTACTATTATTATAGGCACTGCAAAGACAACAGTGAACAAAAAAGGTCCTATTCCCATGGAACTTACATTCAGGTGAAGATAGAAAACACACAAGTCAACAAGCAAATGTGACGAAGAGAAACAAGGCAGGGATGTGAGGTAGCAGGTGCCAAGAATAAGGTTTTGTTTGTGTGGAGAGTGGTCATGGAAGACCTCACCCAAAGGTGAGAGACCTGGAGAAGAGGGGTGGCCATGTGGGTGCCTGGGAGGAGAATGCTCCACACCGAGGGAGCCTGAGAAGGGAACCGTTTCTGTGTCTGAGGAACAGCCAGGAGGCCAGTGTGGCAGGCAGAGAACGAGCAAAGAAGACAGCAGAGATCGGAGTCAGGGATCATTAGGGCCTCCTAGACCCATTGTAAGGGCTGTGGCTTTGCCTCTAAATGAGATAGAGGCTTGTGAGTGGAAAGAGGGACATGATCTGATTTAACTTTTAAGACTTATTCAGGCTGCTGGGAGGGAATAGAAAGAAAAGGGGAATAGAAAGCAAAAGCAAGGAGCCCGATCAGGAAGTTGTTATGGGGATACAGTTGAGAGACCATGGTGCCTTGGACCAGTGGTGAGGATGTTGAGAACTGGATCTCTTTCATGGTAGCGACAACCAAGGTTTACTGTTTGGAAGTAAGTTGTAAGACAAAGAGAGGAGTCAAGATGTTTGACCTGAGCAATTGGAAGAATGGAGTTCTTGTCAACTGACATGTGGGTGGAACAGGTGTGGTGGAAGCTTTCAAAATACTGTTTGCACATGTTTAGTCCAAGCCTATTAGATATCCTCGTGGAGATTACTGTATAAGGAGGCAGTTGGAGATAAAGAGGCTGGAGCTCAACAGAGAAGTTGGTACTGAAGATGTAAATTTGGGTGTTGGCTGAAGCTAAAAGACTGGGTGAGATCACTTAGGAAAAGGATATAGACAGAAAGGAGAAGTCATCCAAGGGATGGCCCTCTGAGATCAGCCCTGCCTTACATCCTGCTTCCGCTGCAGAATGAGATCTCCTCATGCTGGAAGAATTGGCCCCGCGTCACCTGTGCCAGATGGCTGATTTGTTGCAGGTGTGAGGGTAAGTGGGACAACACCAAGTCCTGGAAATTGGACCTCAGCGGAGACCAACCATCCGGTGAGGGAAACACGCAAACATCTTCAGTTAACATCCTCTCCTCTCCCTGTCCTCAGCTCAGTGGGGATTTGAACTAGCAACCTGAGATTAAGCTTCTCCAGTCTAGAACTGGTTTGTCAAACACCCACGGCCCTCTCCTCTGGTGTTCTTTTTGCCTGTTTGCTAGTCCAGCCCAGAGCATTCTGTTCTCCCAGAAGAGTTCTTTGTCCCTGCGCAGGCAGAGCACCATTTGACACTAAGCCAGAGGCTGAGGGCTGGAGGAAGGTTTCCTCCGAGGAAGCTGTCTTACCCATTGACTGAAAATCCTAAACTTTTCCAAAATTCCCTTTATAATGAATCATCAGCTGAGCAGGGCCTCTGCTAGAAAGTTTATAAAAACCCTACAGGATTTTAAGGTTTGAGCAAAGAGAAGAAATGGCCGATGGGCTGTGGACATCTGCAGTAAGAATCTCTTCCCATAGTTTTTCTTTCTAAAACTGGATTATAAGGGAAACGAAGAAGCATGTTGGGGAAGAAGCTCTTGAAATGCCGCCCAGTCTTCTCCTTTCCTCACTTTACTGTCACCACCCAGGTTCCCTGGGAATTGTCTGGGGAGTAGCAGCCAAGAAAAGCAGCCACAGAGAGGAGGGATGTTGGAGAAATAATAGCAGCAGAAATGATGTTTATTGACCTACACTTTCCAGAGATGCCATAATTTTCCTACCTTACAGCCATTCTTTTGAATGATTCTAACTTGGTTTCCCTACCCACTCCCTCCCACTCTCAGCTTGACCCTTTTTCCCCTGCTCTCTTCTCCTTTGTGATAAAGGAGCAGTGGACAGACATAGCTATTCCATGGTCTTCAAAGTCTTTAGCTGGGGCCTGTCTGAAGACCCCCCACTCTCCACGTTCCTGCCATTCACTAGAGACTCTACTCTTTGCTTTCCTGCCTGAGAGGGAAAGTAGTCCAAGGAGCCCACCACCTGAAACTGGGGGCCGTGTTTACGCAACTGGTGCCCACCTGTTTCAGGATGGGACTCCCTCCGAGTCAGCTCTGGGAACTCAGCACACAGCAATAAAAATTGGGGAGTTTGAGATCCTTGAAGATCCCTGAAGAGTTGGAAAGACAGAATTCCCTTTTGCCTTCAACCAGAGTCCTAGAACACAAATATGAATGACAATTCACCCTCTGTTTCTTGTAGCTGGTGAGAGAGCAGTTCTATTGATGTAGCCAAACTCCCCGTGCAAACACTGATAGAAGTCAATGGAAAGGCACCTTTCTTGGCCACCTCTCCATGGCGTTCCCCACTGGATAACAGGTAAGCAGTAAAAACAATTTTTTGGGCTCAACAAAATTTGGTGAAAATATTAATAGTACTAGGTGCCTTTTCTGTTCTAAAGATATGACTCATAGTTTACCCATCCAAACTTTTCATTCTCTGACTTACTCATTCAATAATTTAATATCTTTTTTTTTTTTTTGTGACTACTATGTCCCAGGCATGGTGCCATGTGCTTCCATAAAAAAAAAATAAAAATGGTGAACAAGGCAGATGAAACTTACAGTAAAAGTGATGGGAGTGGCAAAGTAATAAACATATCAAATCATTACACATTTTAGTAAGTGCTATGAGATATCTGTGGGCTGTGAGCTCAGAGGGTGAGGTTGAGGTTTGATGAACTGCGTGCCAAACATAGAAATAAACGCAAGCTGAAATCTTAATGACTTGCTTTTACATGTAACTAGAAAATGTTCTTTGGAGAGTCGCAGCAGGATTTAAAAACGGAATCGCTTGGCCCTGAACTAGAACCTCAGTAATATCCAAGATCTCATGAAGGTAGTTCACATCTCTTAGGATGCCTTTAATGTAATGTCACTTTGCCTCTATGAGAAGAACAACCCAATTGCTCCAGCAACAGACACCACTGGTGGTCTACCCCACAGCTGTTCTTTATTTGCTCACCCCTTTTCCGTGACCTTATGTAATATATGGGGAGGTCTCTGTGATAGAGAAAATGGTCTAAAACTCACCATTGGGTGCTTGTTTAGATGAATTTTGCATCATGTCATCTCCTTAAGAGAGATGATATTATGGAAGTCCATAGGAAGCAAGGTGGGTTGATACTCTCTCTTCTTATGTTGTTGCTTTCCTGGACTTAGAGAATGAAGCTCTCTGACTTCTCAGTTACTCTACGTAGGACCCAAAGCCACCATTCATCTGTGGTAACCTGGACATGGGATCATTTTCCTACTCTTTGATAACTTACAACTAAAGTTCTGCCTGGTGGTTGGGAAGTGCGTAATCACATTTTACAGAGACCTATAAGCCCTGGTGCCTTTCTCAGGTTTCCTCATAGCTGACCTCATGTGGTCAGAGTCCTAAATGTTTCAAGGGGCTCTTCAAAGATGCCATCTCAACCCAGCTTGATTTTAGATCAGCAGCAAGTGTATATATCCCTTCTAACAAAATTAAATGATAGTTGACTGGCTTGAAGGAATTCAGATAATTCAAAAAGCATTCTTCTTAAGTAAATGTAGGGAGTTTCAATTTAAGGGTATAATGGTTATTGGAAATTTGTTACAATGAAAAAATAATAAATAGAAAACATTTTTTTTAATGAGGAAAGGAAGACTCCAAAATTAAAGAGAGAGATCTGTGTATTTAAAATAGGATTTGGCTTAAAAGCCTTCAATTGCACTCAACCTTTGAGAGAAATACGTATCCCACAAAGAAAAAGGATGGGTAGAATAAGGTGGTCTAAGTGACCCAGAGCAGCAGTCAGTGTCAATCAACATTACTTGAAAAGATTTGTGTAGAGTTCTTTCAAAATTGTTATCTTTTCTAATTTAAAACTTTATTTTTGAAATTCTTTTATTAGGTCCCCAAATCCTTCCCTGGTGAATAAGTGGGTTTATGTACACATGTATTTGGTTGCTTGTGAAATCTACTTTGCATTTTCATACCATAATAAGGCCTTTCTAAGGTTATATTATTGCTTCTAATAAAAGCATCGATACAATAAATAGATAATGTTGATTTTTCTTCACACTGAAGCACAACATGTGTAGCCCTGGAGTCATGCACTGGCTGCCTTTACCTGGTTCTGCCGGGGGCTGGGGGCAGGGGTGGTTAATCATCTGAGAGAGATGATTTTTCTCTAATTCTGTAATTATTATAAGACAAGCAATGCCTTGCACTGGTAGGTAGTCTCATCAGCTTATGTAGCAGTAATAGGCAGATGAAAAGTCCAAAGAAGAGACAGAACCAGTCCAAAGCATTACCAACTAGGTCTTAAACTAAGGTAATATTTAGGGAAAGAAAGGGGGTGGACACTGGTTTGTGAAAAGAAAAGCAGAAAGAAGTTGGATTTTCTCTAGACATGCTGGCACCGTAGAGGCTGGTAGACGGAAAGAAGAAAGCTGGGAACTGCCAGGCCCAAGACTAGGACACTGAGTTTGGAAAATAGGACTGTCCCTTGATGGGGCACGGAGCAGCTGTCACCATCATGGCAAGTAGAAAAGATGTGGCTCCCATGAGCTAATAGGCCAACATCTATTTCTAAGTGGAACCTTTTGGGCAGGAAGAACAAGGTCACAGACTTTTTTAGAACAGGAGTCAGCAAATTAGGGGTCAGTCAAATCCAGCCATGACCATTTTTGTAAATTGGGCTTTATTGGAACGCATGCCTGTTCATGCTACAATGGCAGGATTGACTAGTTGTGACAGAGACTGAAGGTTTACAAAGCCCAAATAGTTTTTATCTGGCCCTTTACAGAAATGTTTGGCAATCCCTGTTCTATAAGATGGTGAGGCAGAGTCAGCATTGTGGTTCTAGGTGATGTGTTTGGTTTAAAGACACTCCATAGGCATAGCCAGGGGTGGGCAAACTTTTTGACTCGAGGGCCACAATGGGTTCTTAAACTGGACCGGAGGGCCGGAACAAAAGCATGGATGGAGTGTTTGTGTGAACTAATATAAATTCAAAGTAAACATCATTACATAAAAGGGTACGGTCTTTTTTTTTTTTAGTTTTATTCATTTCAAACGGGCCGGATCCGGCCCGCGGACTGTAGTTTGCCCACGGCTGGCATAGGCTAAAGGCAACCTCTTAAAAGGGAAAAATGGTAAAAGTCTAGGCAGAATCTCAAAACCACAGCTGAACGATCTAGAGTTCAGGACCTCAGATATAGGCAGAAACTGAAGCAAAAGCTCAGTTCTATTGATAGGACAAACATGGTGGGGATTAAGGCAAGAATGAGTCTCAGTAGATTTGTGGGATCCAAGTTTATCTGAGCCATGCAAGATACCAAGTCTAGGACAGCAAGTACAATTTCAGTGACCTTCTGATGGGTTTGAAACAGTGGTCAAGTTGAAGTGCTCAGTGCTCAGCTGAGCAGGGAAGGCAGAGGCTGTCCCCAAAGGAAGGAACTATCAAGTCCAAATAACCTGGATCTTTCTGCTAGAAAGTAGGAGGATGGTGCTATCCTCTCCATTTCCTCTTCAGTGTGATATCTTATCACCCTCATCAACCCAAAGTAGTGAGATTGAAATGTCTCCAAGAAAGGACTGCCAGATTTAGCAAATAAAAATACAGAACATTGAGTTGAATTTCAGATCAACAAAGAAAAAATTTTGATATGTTATGTCTGAAATATTGCATTCTACTAAAAATTGGTACTTGAAATTCAAATTTTCCTGGAGTCTTGCATTTTGTCTGGCCCAGGAAACTGGTTGCCTTTGTGATAAATTATGGCTAAACTAAGCAATATTTTGACTCCTGGGATAGCAAGAAATTTCAAGTCCTTTGGTGTCTCCTCCAGTTTTGTTTTATTTTGCTTCTCCCTCCCTCCACATGCAGATACTTTTCTCACTTTCTTTCATCTCCTCTCTACCACTTTCTTTCCAAAGGCCATCACATCCATCAACACTTCCAAGAATTATAATATGGCTTCAGCTGACATTGATTAAACCAGAAAAGGGCTGAAAACAGAATGAAGAAGTCAAGCTTCTTAAAGTGACTCACAGGAAGGAAACCTGGTGAACAGACAGTTGGGTGATTGGCTTCTGACTCACAGGAAGTTTCTTGACTCGAGATTCTAGCCATCTACCACCATTAGTTTGCTATCGACAAACCACTGAAGTTTCTCTGGCAGCACACAGAGGCTGTCTTGGTAAAAAACTTGGGTTTAGATGAACTGTTGGGCACTCGCTGGTTGCAAACACTGAATTAAAATGGGCATTTTTGGGATTTACAGAAAGCCTCACATAAAAAAGCAGAAAGCTCTGTGAAGGCCATGCGTATGGTTTTAAAGCATTATGCCAGCCCTTAGGAAAGGTTCAGGACAACTCAAATCTGTGTGTCTTGCTCTGTGCTATGGTCTCAGTGCATAGGCCTCATTTGCATAGCAGAGGATGTGGGCTCATGTTATGCTAATATTATGATGACTTTAAGGGCTTGGCTAATACATACCTTATGTAGAAAATATTAAACCGATATGATTGATGTCCCCTATCAATCTTTTCTTTAGCAACTTTCCCATCATTGTGGCAGTGTTGGAGGTGCCATTTGGGTCTCTCTTCCAGAAAGGCGTTGCTGTTTTATTGTAAGAAGCGCAGTCAGCTTACAGCCTATAGCTGTTAGCGACTTAGAATCTGCCTCCCCCTTCCTGGGGCAGCCCCCAGCCAATGGCTGAGCACAGAGCAGCTAGTCGGCCTGGACATTTCTCTTCAACGTGAACTCCTCTAATGAGCAATCTTTGTTCTGGAATTCCCCCTCGGGTTGACCAAAACTTCCTCTGATACGCGTTGTGGTCTGAGCCCGTCCAATTCTGCCTTCTTCCTCTTTTATCTTCACCAGTGTTGCTCCCTAATAAACCTCTGCATTCTTAATTCTGCCTCACGTCTGCTTCTCTGAGGCACACTTGACACAACCATCGTGGCCCCGGGGAAGTGGGAAGGACAGGTGCCATTCTATCACGGAAAAATTTTTTTTTCAGGGATACATTTTTACCAGCAAAGAAGCGGGGAAGGGGCACTGTTCTTCCTGTTCAGGAGAGTACAGGAAGGAGAAGAGAGGTGGAGACAGGGTAAGAACTTCACGCATCAAGATCTTACCTTGCCTCTTTCTTGGGGCCAAGCCTTGTTGGGGACGGAACTATAGAAGCAATCAGAAAGGTTTAGGGAGACTAAGGAGTATTGGGACAAATGGCCTACTTTCCCACACATAGCCTGGAGGAGGCTGAAAAAAACCCGAAGCCCCACTTTTGCCTTGGCATCGTGTCTAACATGGCTTGAGTAGGACAGTGCAGCATTAGCAA